TGACATTGTCTTAGACACAAGGAAACAAAATTGTACATTATGCCCCCAATACCCCAAAAAACTTGTAATCCCTCTAGTTCTATACGATTTTTTTCGTGTTTTGTACAAAGATGTATAGTGTCCAAAAATTGATAATCAAAACTCCTCGACAATTCTAGTATATGGGATTGCTTGACACTAATATCTTTAATAGAGATAGATTGTTATAACTGTGAAGCAACGAGGACTTTGATTCGATATTATTATTTGTTTTGATCACTAGTAGGCATAGAGATTTTCGAGATTCTACATTCTCTAGATAGCTAAAAATTTCTGATCCTTTTTAATCCATGGTAAAACAAAGCCAATCAGATTTTTTTTTATTGGAAATAAGAAAGCTAGCAGTAGATATAACAACGACGCTGCACTTATTCTGCCACAAATATCTTTTCTTAAACTTGCAGTTAAAGGATGCTAATCATTATATTAGATTGAAGCAGAGAAAATGCTCACTTGGGAAGACCAGTTTCAGGATCGAGAAGGGCTTGAGTTTGGTCATGAAGCACAACGGGACCTCTTCCAGGTCTAGTGCAGATAAAATAACTTACTTCTCCTTTTTGATCCTGAGATCCAATGTTGTCTTTTATTTCAGGTGGAGGTTGCAGACTCTCTACACTATTTGCTCCATCTAATCCTGCCTCTTTTAGAATCGAAGTATCTCCCACTACGTAACTGGTAAACATAAAAACCAAAATCATTACAAACAGATTTTTTAGTCATAAGTTAAACTCTCAGAAAACTGCACTAAACAAAACCACACAGTTTCTATCTCTCACCTCCTCATATCAGTGTCAGACTTAGGAGGGAAATAGTAGAGCAGCCCCTGGAGCAATTGAACTGCTACCTTTCTGTTGCGTGCAATCAGTACAGCATTCGGGCCAGCGTCAAAGGTGTAAGCAACCTGTCCAGATATAAGTTTTTGAGGTTTATAAACTCGAGAAAACACAAAATAGTTTTGCAAATGAGATTTGATATAAAGGGGTCTTATCTGTCTCACATTCTTGTGCAAATACTTGGAAATAAATTTATGCTACAAAGATTGGAAGTACTTTCTACAAATACACAGCTTCAGCACATTACCTGTGGTGTGCCTTCAGAACGGTTCCACTTTTCAACTAGGCTAATTATCCTGGCAAAACAGTTAATGGCTTGATATTAAATAAAAGATTGCTAAATAAAAAGAAGCAACATATAACTGTCAAAAGATAGATGATACCTGTGGGAAGTGTCATTCATGTAAAATATGGGTGGAGATGTATCCAAACAAACAGCATGAAACTGATTACTGTCTGCGCAGCTCAATTGTGTTAAAGATGCAAAATCTCGGTTTTTAATAGCTTCCTCCATTTGCAGGACCCGTTTTGGCACAACTTCCTACAGATAAAGAACAAACAGAAGATCAGATTTAAGAGGGAATACAGACTTTCATAAAAAGTCAAAAAGAGAACGTACTTTTGCTCTGTGCTGTAAAAGCAAACTTGTCTCAACACTTTCACGCATTCCAGAGGTGCTGCTTGTTTCCTTCTGCTGTGAACTCACCTGGGTATCGCACACACGAGTTACAAAAACATATTAACAAAGAAGCTCTTACTGGCTATATAAGAAATGATAAGCAGGCACTGAATTTTCACAGGGTTCAGATCATATTATTAGAGCTTGTTATATTCCTGCCATAATGCAGAAAAATGTGGCTGCATGAATCCAAAATATGCGTATATTCACTCGTTCAAATAAAACAACTCAATATTGAGTTCTGGAAATACTGAGCCTGACAGCTCATTCATTCAAATCGTATGACGAGAGAAATTGTAACATACGGTTAATCGTAAGACCAAGTCTAAAGTCACTCGATGAAAGATTTATAAGATCCATACCACAGCAATGATGATAACAAGCTCATGCCAATGCTTCTCATCTTCCAGTTGAACCGCAACGCTGTCACTTCCATCTTCTCTACTTCCCATTTTCCACTTGACAAAACCACCAAATAAACTACGGCAAGCACTTCCTGAACCTTGCCTACGTGAGAAAATAAGAACTAAACCGTGTGTACCCGTAGAGAAATTTCATTATACACATAACTCAACAATTATTATTACAACTGATGCATAAATAAAGATCACTGTAAAAAGAAAATAAAAATGTAGGCCGTATATAATCAATGCATGAGGATGATGCTAAATATGCCAATGCGAGAGGAAGTCCACTAAATAGGTACCTGGCTATCGCAGAGAGATGGCTAAGATCTTCATCCACATTCATCAACTTTGCAAGTGAGAAAACTGTAGGAAAAGATAAAGTCATTAACTACGAGCCATCCTCAAACTCAACCGTGAGAATTGCAGATAATGTCATTGCCATTAGAGGAAATATAAAGCGTTAATATCGGCTAAGTCGACATATAGTATGGAAACTGCATCATTATATGGAGCAAAGCTTCATCTTTCAGGTTTAACCAACCCCATGAGGAAAACAGATAGAGAGAGAAAAATGCAGAATACCTAGACAAGCAAATCCAGCTGCTGAAGATGCTAAGCCAGCAGCAGTAGGGAAGTTGTTATGAGAAGCAATATGTAAATTCAATTTCTCCCAATCTTTCTTCACTATCTTGATACCTTTCTCCTTATCTTCAACATCACCAGCACGACTTCGAATTTCCCTCAAACAATTTTGGTACCTACTTCCAGATAGAGAGATTTCCTATACAACAAAGTGATTTCAACTCTTATTAAGCATCAGGACTAATCCCACTTGATTCAAACCTAATCTCGAATTCGATGGAAACGGAATCTCAGCGAAGAAACACGAGAGAGATCCAAGTGAAGCAAGTACCTTGCCATTGAGCCACATTCGATCCCGATCAAAAGCAGGACTAACGGAGACAGTGGTGACGGTGCAGAGATGATCTGGATCAAGAGTTACGCTAATGCTGTCATTGACGGGAAGAATCCGAACCTCGTCTCTCTTACCCCAATACTTAATCACAGCGATGTTCGTCGGAGTTTGAGCCGTCACCATGAAAACCCATTTCTCCGCCGCCATTTGAGCTCCCACGCGACGCGAAGCTCCAAGATCTTCGTGCTCAATGAGATCTGTAGCTTCGAAGTGGTTAAATCCAAGGAAATAAAGAGACGGAGAATTCGAAAGGAAAGTGATTCATGTCTATTAACGGAAATCGAACTAAAATATAAGAGAATTGGTTTTTTTTTTTAATTCAGAAAAAAATTAGGACATGAACCAATAAGGGTTAATTTGATTAATAAAAAAAAAAATATATATATATATAGAATTAGAAAACTAACAAAAAGTAGCATATGGCATGTTTATATCCATTAGATATTAAATGTAGGTTAATTGGGTAGATTTTGAATTATAATTTTTTTGGATTATTTAATCCAATTTCCCAAACCAATAAGGAAACCTCACTACTTTATTTATTCTCATATCAAATTTGGTAATATATACATGTTTGGTGAAAACACCAAATCTTAACCTATAAAGTTTTTTTTTTGAGAAAAAAAGAAAAAGAGTTAGTTAGCAATGTATTTCATTTGAATGTTTTGGATAGAGTGTTCAATCTTGATTTCAGTTAGATTTTGATTCAAAATTTTTGTTTTTGAATAGTAGTATTCAAAGTAAACCATATATATTACTAGGGAATGTTTACGCGTTGCGTGGAGT